GCAAGCAATAAATGGTTATTCTGCTTTTCACAAAGGAAGTGTAATGTCCGCTCTTAATGGCAGCATTTTATATATGGTACATGAAAGAGATCCTACTAGGACAGCTATAAAAAACTGGCAAAATTTGACCTTTGATTTTACGTAAATGTTACATATTTGAATAAAAGGTTGCATTTATAGGCAGCCACCAATTTTTTCTCTTTTTTTTAATGAAATCTTTAGAAAAGATCAAGGGACAATCCAGGGAAATTTTTAATATGCAACACTAATTTTGAACAAATTCAAAATACTYGGACAAGGATTTTCCTCTAACATAGGATTCATCACCCTCCTAACTTGGTATAAATTCAATCTGTTCTGTTCGTATGACATAAACAACAGGCAGTTTCACAGGAACGAAGCAAACCATATGTGAAGGTGTTTTAGAAAGCACAACAGGGAATACACCGAGCAAAGAAGCATATGCGTTTATTTCAATGTCAAATCACATGTGTATTATAAAGGAAAGTTTATTATCTTTATATAAAAAGCAAGCTTACTATATTGTGCTCTTTACAGTTAACTCTTCCTGCCCCTCAGTATCCTGCCCAATTTTGAAAAAAAAAAAAAAATCATTAAATCTACAGATGCAGAGGCAGTATTGCAAAGGGTCTTCAACCTTGTTCACCCTGCCCAGGCTGTCACATGATGCCAAGAGCCCATTTTGTCCTCACCATCCCCTTGCTACCCCTCTTGAACAAGGGCTTCATCTGCTCCTGACWGGTGCAAGTGAGAACCAAAGCGTGGCCCAATGCCCTGGATTCCAGAAATGCAAGAATGTAAATTTAGACAAGAATTACTTCTTGTTGATGCCTGGGTGCAGCAGGACAAAAGGTTGTCCCCTGTATCAAGATGCTGCCTGGTGCTGCCSTGACCAACCCACAGCCGAGCCACCATGGGCAACACATGGCACTGCTGTGTGGGGCATTGGGTACTCCCCCACAAAGGGMAGCGCCCTACAATTCATTGTAGGTTTTATAGAAGCTGCCCAGAGTCAGCTTCACACATTTGGAGTTGAGGAGCAAATATTTCAAAGCAGTGTTTAGCCTGGGTATGAGCTACAGGCACATTGTTAAAAAGCTAATTGCAGGAGACAAAGTATGATCGTTACTTTTATATTAGTGTGCAATATTAACCCTTGTGAGCTTTGTCTGATGATAAGCTGTTGGCAATTGAAACTGCTACTATTTATATTTAAACTCCAGCCTGAAGATTCTGTAATAAGACAAATGAAGGCTTTTGAAATTCGCGATCTTTTTCACATCTCCTCTAGAACTACACAATGTGAAAGCTTTGAAAGTGTTGAAATTATTTCTCACATCTGTATTTTTTTCATGTTCAGGAAATCTGACTTTACAGTCACAAATAGCCATGAAAAACATTTTTTTCTTCAAATTTTGCTTGTTTCAGGGAACAGAAGAAGAGAGCTAGGGAGAGTCTGACACCATGTTTTGGCCTGCAAGGTGAAAATTCCTCCAAACCTTCCTCCTTTTCTCTCATGGCTACAGATCTCACCCATCTCATTTAGACAATAGCCATGAATAATACTGATGYTCTGCTCCAGGTGACACAGACTTTAGCTCCAGGAACACAAATCTCAGAGAAGGGAGGTTCAGCAATGYTGTGGTGCAAGGCAAGGTCCTGGCATGGACTCTCCAGGAAAGTCAGCAGAGCACTGGGTGAGCACCTGGCTGTGACCGCAGCTGACTGCCTCAGCAGCACGGATGTCCCTGCAATGCAGGACCACATTTGTCTGTTGTCTTAACCTCTCCACCCTCACTTTGGGTTCTGCCCCCTCAGCCCCAACTCCCCAGACCCAAGCAAAAGCGTGCTGCTCTCAGCAAGGCTGTTCGTGGGCACAGTGGGAAAGTCACTTGTGTAGGCTTTGAGATCGAAGCTGAAGCCTGTGGGCTCCTGCAGCCAAAATGATCTTTTTATTCCAAACGTGTATAATGCCCACTCTAAGGAGGTTTGACTATGGCCTACGGATGTGAGACACCACTGTCAAATTAATATGAATGGAAAAGGACAAGCACGCTGTAGCAATGGAAACAGAAACGAACAAAAAAAATCACAATTATCAGAAAAATATTTGTGATCACAAAAGAATATCTTGTTCGTACTCACCAACCTCCCCTCTGGCAAGCCTTGAAAGAAAAGAGAATATGAGAGAAAGGAAAGAAGAGAAAAAAAATCAGTGGGAAGAGGCAGGGAGTGGGGTGGGGGGGGGTGGGGGAGAGAGACTGAGACAGTGGATACTTTTAACTTGTCACAGTACAACACTGGCTTTTAATTAATACAGGGTATGTACAACTTTGAAGACTGTTGGTTGTGTAGTATTTTATGATAAATACATTTTATGGGATTTTGTTTTTAAAGAGGATTTTATAAAATAACCTAGCCCAATAAATGATTTACCAGCTGCAATAAAAGATCAAGGAAATTGCTCAGATTGCATCTTGGAGCATCTAAAACTCTGAAGTTTATGGAGATCTAAGCTGCCCCCAGATCTACAGTGCTATTAAAAATTTTTGTAGTAGCTAATTATCTTGCATTGCATTTTTTAAAAGGTAGCAATTGCAGTCGAGAGGAAGGTCTGGAAACAGACAAAGAGGAGGTGATGCCCTTTGATGGAGAAAGTTGGAGACAAGGAAAGGACGAGACAGACAGGAGTGAGTAACAATTGAAACATCATGCTGGTGTWGTAACAAATGGAATTAACAACTCACAAGGTATCAGATTCCTGGGGAAATTACCTGAATTAACTCTATATTTTAAAAAAACATATTATTAAGGACACATTCTCTTTACATGGAATGCTGTGTGTAATACCTATATTACTTGACCAAGAGTGGAGTATTTTGATTTTCCTATTTTTYTCATTCTGATAAAAATGATGAGTACAAGTAAAGTAGAAAGTAAAGAAATTCCCTCTAAATTCTGCTTTGTTCTAACCTCAGGGGACTTGAAGACAACAAATAAGTAAATAAAACAAGAACTGGTCCTTATGTCCAAGAGGAAGACAGATACAGTAAATAGAATGGCATATCAAAATAACAAAATCATGGCCTCAGCTAGGACAGGCAGCATCCTGGCACATTCCCTGTGGCCTTTGTTTTGTACCAGGAAGACCTGGTTCATGCCCTGTAACCTCCTGTCCTCAGATGTAACTCTGCCTGCCCAGGGAACCCTGGCAAAGTCAGGGTCCCCGCAGGTGTGGGGAGCAGGAACAGCTGGGCTCCCGAAGAAAGGACAAACAATAGGACTAAGAAAAGGAAATGGAAGAAAGGGCAGTCATTTTTTCTTATTCCCCAAATCAGAAGGCAGGGTGCCTGCCAGCTGAGACAAGTGCCTATGCTCTCTGCTCCTCCAGACACCTTGTGCAATTGCAAAGGCCATGGGCTTCAAAGCCTGGGCCAGGCTGCTGCGGGTGGAGCTGAACCCCTTTCCCAAKCCCACCGAGCTGAACAACTTTGAAAAAAGAAAGGAACAATGCTGCTTTAAAGTCCCATCAAATCATGGGACTTTAAAGGTAGACAGAACCACAGAATGGGTGTGTTGGGAGGGACCTTAAAAGCCATCTAGTTCCAAACCCTCTGTCATGGGCAGGGACACCTTCCACCAGACCAGGTGGTCCAGGGCTCCATCCAACCTGGCCTTGAATGCTTCTAGGGATGAGGCATATACAATTAAATATTAATTGTATCACAACTGAATGTTAATTGTATCACTGTAACTCTGCAAGACACAGAAGAGGAAAAGTGAAGTTCACCACTACAGAAAGCAAGCACCATGAGATAGACAATTGGTGACAATTTGGTTAATTAAATTTGAAAACTGAGGAAGGTAAAATGAAAGAGTGGGAGCTGGCAAGGATATTTGGATGAGTACTGCTACTCTAAAAGCTATTCTTATATTATGGCCAGGATGGGGGAGTCCTTAATTGTCCAAAATAACCATAATTAATTCAGCAGAATTATGAAAGCCTGATTATATGAGTGTGTTATTTTTCTCCCTCATTTCTGCCTTCTCTGGCAGTCAGGGTTAATCACCTCTAGGGCTGAGTTCAGGTTCTACTGTCAAAATGCATTTTGTGYCTGCAAGGTCTTTACCTGACTTCCTGCCCACTCTAAAGGCACCAAGTGAATGGGGCAAGTGAGAGCAGGGCACACACAGCACCAGTCATGCTGAAGGCTGCTTGGCTTGCCTGTGAGACAAACCTGTCTCATGATTTGATGGGGAAGTAACTTAAAATTAAATTTTCACAGACATACACCCTATTCTGATGTTTGTTTTCTGGGTACTTTATTTGAAACTCCAGGGCCTGATTTGCAGAAGATCATGGATGCCAGAAATGTACATTACAGCTGGGTTTTGAATATTCAAAGCACAATAGGGAGCTATATGAAGGCTTATCAGATCATTTCATTTAGTGAAGGATTGGGTCTTCATTGTTTTTTACTAATTGCAAATAACTGTCCAACTTTTGCAATTACCTAGAAGATGAAAACCAAGGGAATATAATTATAAGTAAATGAAAATATTTCATTTTGATGTAGCCTTTTCAATTTCACTTTAATTTATCTATTCATTTTAAGTCATTCCCCATATGTGTATTTTGCAACAGAGAAAAGTAATAATATTTAAAGTAACATCCAAAAAAAGGTAGTGTATTGCTCTTAAAATGTTGAAAAGATTATACTAGAAATCTTTTTGCCTTATTCCCCTGACACAGATCCTAAAAACAATGTAGCAACAACAAAATTGCATTCCCAAACAAAAAACACTTTCATTTTTTTTTTAAATCAACTTCAATAATAAATACTACTAAGAAATCAAAGAAAATTCATGTCTTCTTTTTTAGCGTAATAACTTTCATTTAAATGTAGATGCCTCTGTAATGCATGTATAGCAAGGCAAACTTTCAGGCTGTGAAACTATTTGATGCTGAGATCACTTACCACACAGAAAAAGTGTATTTCTCCAAGTCTTCCAAATCAAAATTGCTCTTTGCAGGTATTTTCCCTTTTTCCTGTCTTGCATTATTCTCGGGACCTGATTTTTCTTCATAGCATTGGTTAGGTGGGTTATTCCAGCTGACCTTTAAATRAAAATAAGAAACAACTTAGAATACTAAGATAATTAGCTGGACACTGATAGCAAAGTAAGATGTGTCAGCTTCTCTGTTTTGAATTCTAGCTCTGTTTACACTCTATAACAAATGTGGGAACATCAATGGCAAAGCCAGCTCAAAACACTTTGAATAGGTGCCAATTTCAATTGGAAAGGACCTACAACAAGCATCTGTGCTCCAGTTCTGGGCTAACCAGAAGTTAAAGCAGGTTGTTAAGCACACTGTCCAAATGCCTCTCAAACACTGACAGGCTGGGGGCTTCAACCATTYCTCTAGAAAGCCTCTTCCAGGCTTTTGGCCACCCTCTCAGTAAAGAATTGTTTCTGCAGTCCAGTCTGAACCTCCCCTGGTGCATCTTTGGAACATTCACATGTGTCCTATCACTGGACACTGGCAAGAAGAGCGCAGCTCCTCCCTTTCCATTTTCCTTCCCAAGGAAGTTGCAGAGAAAAACAACATTCCCCTGAGAAAAACAACACTCCTCCAAGCCAGACAAATCCTCAGCCACTCCTGACAGGACATGCCTTCCAACCCACTATTTCTTCCTCCTCTGGACGCATCCAAGGACATTCCCAATCTCCTAAAATCATGGGACCTGGAGCTGCACACAGACTATTGCTCTGTGAACTAATATATGCCCCTGTAAGGCTGTGGTTTAGCAATCCCTTTCAAGGAGATGCAAGCTCATGGTGACACCAGCAGACAGCCAGTATTCCACTACCTGGATGAATTTCTCTGTGTTGCATACCAGACTCTGCCGGTGCAAAAGTATGGACGTGTACATAGTAAGCCATATGAAGAGAAGTGATCTGGGAATGGAACTAATACTGTTTGGCTTCTGCTTTTCYTTTTCCTTTWATTAATTGGGTTAGCTCTCAGCTGGATCCATTCTGATCCAGGCCACCCTGCTCTGGCTGACAGCACAATGGAGAGRGACAGTGCTGCATCTTTCAGTGCTGGTGACAGTTTATACCCATTTGAACTCTTCGAGCTACAAAGTAGAGAATCCTGATCTGTGCTCATCTCTGGAATAACACCTTTGCATGCACCAGGCCTGGTTCAGCACTGGCATCAACTCTTCAAGTTGACTCCCAGACTCCCTGGATGTTTGGCATTRTTGCCTCTGGACAGAGAGCCAAACATCACTTCCACCAAGAGACTCAGTGAAGTAATTTACAAGACAGACATCTGTAGGCGACTTCACCAAAGATATCAATTAATACYTTCCCAGGCACAATATCAAATTCTGTAAAGGGTTTGCTTTTTTTAGTGAACAATTCCAGAGGGGACAAGGGGATGGAAGCTAAAACACATTATGTTCAAACKAGAAACAGAACTCCCTTTTTGTTCTCCCTGTTACACAGGGAGATGGAAAGTGTATTGCTTAGAGGTAACCACAAAGATAAATTTTGGTTCCAGATCCCTTGATGCCAACTTTACAGAGCAAGTGGTTGAAATTTTCTAGTCTATACTAGAAGATAATTTAAATTAATTATTTAAAGTCCTACTTGACTTTCACATTTAAGAAATCTATAATGAACAAAACAGCCAGCTCTACTCAGTAGATGCAAAAAAATCTCTTCCCAGGGAAGAAAGCATCGACATAAGATGCAGTCACACGACTTCACACTTTGCTAATTTTGAAAATTACAAAGATTTGKTTTTTTAACTCTGTAAAACATTTTGCTCTAAAAAGTAAATTTGTATTCTGAATCTTAGATTATATAAGTCTTGTGCACATTCTGAATTTCAGCCATGAGACTGCCCAACTTCATTCCCTAAAAACCAGTTTCAGTGTAGTGTTTGCAAGGTACTTTGCTTGTATTGAGATTATCTCCATGAAACTATTCCTGCACAAAGTCGTGTAAAGACTTTAAGACATAAATCCCAGAAGCATTAACGAGTTAATTTCTCTGAGAGTGTTTGCTCTTGTCTGAAGTACAAAAAGCAGAAACTCAGTCATCTCCATGAGGATGACGTTATGACCCAGAATATATTTTACTTCTCTCACAAGTCATTGACCATGAACGCTCTCTCTTTTATTGCTGCCATTCARTATCTTAATACAGGCAGTGGTTTGCACACTTCTTACAACAAAAGTTTGGTTGTTGCTGATTCACATCACTCAGAAGACACTCAATGAGAGACCATTTGCATAGATGAATTTGGGGGCAGGGAGGGCAGAGACATCCATATTTACCAAAAAGTTGAAGTCAGACTCAAAGAACTTTCTGATTCCTTTCAAAACAAAACAAAACAAAACAAACAAAAAAAAAAACCCTAAAAAATCTGTTTGCAAAAAGAAAAGAAAAGGAACTGCTCAGGAAAATAAATCACTACATGAACTTCTGTCTTCTTCCTTAAGTCTGTTATTACATTAGTTTGTCGTTGTTTCCTATATATGACTCTTAGGCAAAGTTATTTTAGAAGATAGTAACCAGAGATTTGAGTAGGCCCAAATTATATRAATCAGGCCAAATGCCTAAATCTTGAGCATGCTAAAACAAGGCTCTCTCTGAACATTAGGGCTCACTCATGTCATCAAAAATGAGGGGCTCTTACAACCTCTGAAAGGAGATTTGACATGCTCACATTTCTTTTGTGCAGAAGGATTCTCGTAAGAGGCTCAGGTCARGAATCTTTTCCAAAATGTCAATAACTGTAGCTTGTGAGTCATTTCACCGAGTCCAAAGGGACCAGACTGTGCTGAGTTACACATGGGCTTACGCACCTCACTGAAACCAGGTCACTTTAATGTGGCTTTGAGAGCCACCCACAACTGAGGTTCCTGTAAGACCATGGCATTTTGTTCAAAGGCATTTGGCTATTATGGGATTGTAGGAAGTGAATTTCACTCTGCCACTCCCATGGGTTGGGCYGGGTTGCTTTGCCTGTGACACCCASTCCATCGGTCCTTAAATCATCCTTCCTGTAGATACAAGGCTACACACACACGCATGCACACCTCAGTCTRCAGCTAGATTTATACACAACTCTGTTTTCTTCAAGTTATCCTTACCTTCCTGAAGAAACAAAACACTTGAAAACTTAGAAATTTAAAAGAGAGGGAGTTTCCAGTTGTACAATCTGGTTTTGCTCACAGATGTAGATCATCACACTAATAAAGTTATAAATTGCAATTATAATCCCCAGTCACTCAGTGTTTGTGCTACACTACATGAGTTTGTGGGTACTCTGAGTGCTGTGGTGATTTCTTTTCTATGGGCAATTAAAAATATTAAAAATGCTTCAGAGTATATCTAGAACAGGGTGAGACAAATTACCAGAATGATCAATTTGAATATTCATGTTTGCAGCTGATTCACTGCAGCCATGCAGATTTAAGGATTGAAGTGAAGCAACATTTACAGAGAAAATATTGCAACTATCATTGAAAAATACCTAATTTACTAATATGGTGCAGGTAGAAGCAGTTTTCAGGAATACAGAGTCTTCTAGGTGTCTTAGTTCTCAGGTTTTACATGAAATCTGAACATTTCAGTAGCATTTCATCCAGACAGTGTTGTCATGTTGCAAATAAAATCCCATGGTAACTTGCACTGATGACAMAATATTTGTTCACAAATTAATGATGCCCTTGGCCAGGATACTACAAAGATATACTAAAAGTCTCTGATGGTAAGGATCCTCTGCACAAGTACACGAGAGCTTGAAGCTTATGGATGCATAGGAAGTCTATCTCATGTTTACACATCATTAAAATATCATCCTGCAGCTTGATCAGGCTTTTGTTGTTCGCTTACTCGGTGGTCTTTCCTTCTACTCCTTTGAAGTTCCATTGSTGAAGAGATGAGTTTCCCTACAGACCTCTACAGGAGACAGCAGCACACCTGGACATGTGAAGCCTTATTGTGGGTATAAAAAATTTACACRGATTGATTAAAGAAGCATAACAAGCATAGCAAACAAGCCCATGGATCGTTCTTAAATGTCACATGTAGCAGCTCCAATGGCTTCTCTGTGAGCTTTGAGGGAGATGGTGATGCTCACATCAAGACCAGTACCTTGTGACGTCCTCCTTGGACTCCCTGCAGCCTAAAGGAGCCACAGTGTTTGTCTGCTCTGCTGTGACAGTCTTGGTAATCCTCTGCATGAAAACAAAATAAAGACATAAATTAYTTTTAGATTGCTGCAAAAGAAAAAGCTCTGGAAAGGAAGGAGCTAGGTTTTGGTCCCTTTCCCAGCAAGATCCTTACTGACTTCAGGCTGACAATTTTTTCCTCTTCCTGAAAGTTATAAATAGGTGATTGTCTCCCACATTCCAGAAGAAGACTCCAGATGCTGTGGTGCTGGAAATAAAAATTGCATACATACTAAAGAAGGGGAAAAGTAGAAATAAAKAAATAATAGGCATAAGAAGAACTACATCGAAGAACATTTTAAAAACTACAGAAAGTGTTATTTGAAAGACGGAAGTTAATTTTCTTGCATGGGCATAGCTGTGGATCAAGAATAAGRCACTAGGACACAAAGTACTCAAATAAGCTTTGATTAGAAAACACAAGTCCATGTCCCTCAAGCTCCTGAAAAGCAGTGACCTGTGGAATGAACAAAAATGTACTCCCACATCATAGGAAGCAGTCGTGTGGCAAAAATAAAGGTCTGTATTACACATTTTAATGTATAGCAAATGGAGGATAAGGGAAAAATGCACTTAATGATCTTTCTTTTTTTTTTTCTTTTCTTTTCATTATTTCCTGTTCCAGGCAGTAAAAGACAGCCAAATGTATTTAAAGGATCTAATCTTAAGTGTTACACAATATGTGTATATGTAATAGTGGCTGATGTACAATACATGCATATGCAACGTCACAGTTTTAAGCCTTTGTGTTTATTTATGTACACACTTATGGATATCTTTCTTACTTCCTACATAGATATACACACGTGTGTAGGTATGCTGAGCATTTATAGTGAATGAGGGATTTACAGATATCTACATCATCTGGGGTGAAAGAAGAGGACTACTGAAATCAGCATAAAATGCAGCTGCTGGTATGTCACGTGTGTGCACACATGCAGTATAACCTGTTCAAACTGTCTCAACATATTTTGCATATGGGATACATGTATGGACTCATAAATGCACATTAAAATATAAATATACCTTTGTAAAGATGGTTCCTGTGGTTTTCTTTGTTTAATTTTTCTTCTTCTTTTTTTTTTCCCACTACACAAAAATGGGTTTCCACACAGCCTTGCTGAAATGATGAATACTTTAACAATGTTTTTCGAGTCAAATGAATAAAGCGGTAATTATCTTGGCAAAAAAAAAGGGACAATAAAAAGAATAAAGAAAACAATAATATTCTACAATTAAGAAATGGGAGGGAGAAGGAACTCAAGTCTGTTATTTAATCATGACATGCTCTTTTTATATTTTATTTGTAAGGCTCTGAATGCTCTTTTCTTTCTATACCAGTGAGCTCATTACTTTAATTTCTCATAGATTTCTCTGAACAATTTTTGCTAAGTAAAAACACAATGTAATTCTTCAATGGCTGTAACAGTAAGAAGCTGCTCAAATTAAAGATCAATATAAGTACAGAAAAAAAATCTGTAGGAAAATAAATAAATAAAAGAGGAGATGGGAAATGCCTGCAATTAGACAGGATGAAAAATCTAAAAAGAAATTAAATTTAGTTGTAATACATTTCCCATTCTTTTCTTCATGAAAATTACTACTGAAGTGGGKTTTTTTTCTGTAATTTAAATGTTAAGCTGCCAGATGTGTGTCTCATGCTTGAAGAGTTGAAGCTTTGCATTATTTAGCATATTAAGATTCACAGAATTTAAAAAAGGGCTCCTTTATTGCCTGGAGGTTCTAATTAAGTAAACCTTAGCCTGGTACATTTAAAACTTGCAATACAAGAGATTTCACTTCCTTTTTTTTTCCTCTGTAGCCAAATCTCATCAATATAATAAATATGGAAAATACTTAAGAYGATACAATTTTTCTTTGGCTTGAGGAATTAAACCTATCTATTATTTTAAGAAGTTTTTAATAGAGGCCAGCAATCAGAAAGACATTTAAATACTCCAGTCTACTTTTTAATCATAGGAGTTGCTCTTAGTGGTGGAGGGAGGGAATGTGTCTTATGAAACTGAACTATGTAGAAATTGTTTCTTCCACATGCAAAAAACAAAGCAGCTCTGAGAAACAAGAACCACACAGTTCTTTATTACTAAATCACACTTTACTTTTTTTATAACTTTCTATAATTGACCACAGAAAACTAATAAAGCATTAATTAGCTGCACTATCAGCAATTTGTTCATTGAAGAAGTTGGGACAGCTGCATCAGAAACTGCAATAGCATAGAAATTCCTTTGACATGCAGTACCCATAAATCATACCTTAAATACAGTTATTTTTGCCATTTTAGAAAATGTCAAAGGTGTCAACTTTGTACAGATAYAACACTTAGCAGTGACTATTTCAGTAAATTGACTCAAAATACATTTTGTTCCCTGACAGGGGAACATAATATCATTCATGATAAAAATGAACAATTTGAGGAGGAGAAAATGGCACCAAGAAAGAATGATCAGAGACAGGTATCATAGTTGTGATAAAGGCACAGTGGCAGACGTAGACTCTCTGTTGATGGGTTTATTTGGAAGTCAAGAAACATATGCATAAAAGCAGGAAAACAAGATTACACCAGGGCCTGGAAAAGACAATTAGATTTTTAATCTAAAGTTATAAATCTGTGGTTGGATATTAATAAGAAGACCAGCAGAACAGGTTAAATGCCTACATTTTTTATAAAACAAGCAGGAAAAATAGGGTGGCATGTTTCCCCAGCATTGTGGAATGGGCAAGACAATGTCTGGATTTGGAAAATCATGGTGATATGAATGTCATTTCCAGCCCTTGACAATGCTGAGAGCAGTCATTTCTGGGTGACATTAAGTCCCAACCAAATAGTTTAGATACCACACAGATCATGCCTGATAAGGGATACAAAGAAAAGGTTACCTGTGCAAAATCCCTGAGTTCCACCGGGACACACTTTTTAAAATACCATGGTAAGAGGTTGTAAACAAAAATATTATTGCTACTCTGTTACCTTTCTCCACATCAGCCTTCTCAAGGTAATAGTGGAGCATAATAGCGTGACCTTTAAAATTAGAGGGCGTCTTATGGCTTCCTAACCCTTGCAGAATAACACCTGACCATTTTTTATCCTCTGCATTCTGTCTGAAAGTTATCATCTTTGCTCATGTCTTCTGCACAAGCACCGTGCATTGCAACARGAGTGAACCTGTAGAATGAAATCAAGGTTTGGGAGGACACCACTGAACAGTGGGGACCCCACTGTGTGTGGAAGATTCCATGTCAGATCTGGTTTTTGGTCTGGTCTTGCTGACTGATGGCCCATAAATAACTGATATACACACACCTAAAGCACACCCCGTTTTTCAGCTTCACCCTAAAGATGGCCAGTGCTTGTCCTCTGAGAACACTGCAGTGAGAACAACAGAGCAACAGCTGGGGCATGGCGTTCTCTTCAAAAATGCCCTAAATACCAAAAGAGTGTAAACACACCCTTTATGAACAAGCATTAGAGAAGGGTGGGAAACAGATTCTCTCAGATGCTGCACATACGGCAGATACTGTGAAATATTTGTTATTTATGAATGGGGAACACAGACAGTCCAAAAGTTTGTTTGTTTGTTTGTTTGTTTGTTTGTTTGTTTTAATATGGACAAAAATACATAGCACAGCTAGGAAAAAAACCTTACAGAAGTTTGATGGGAACTATTTTTGATTTATACGGGGGCAAAGCAGAGAAGGAGAGTGCAGTCGCTTCTGATGGCTGCAACCTCTCTTTAAGTCAGTAGGAAAGGGTTTTAGGCTGGTGCAATCCAAGAGTGGGGCAGGAGGCAAAGAAATCACCACAGCAGGGACAGAAAATAAGGTGATCCTATTTGGCAAAGATCCTACCTGTACTCCCTTCCTAGTAATGCTAGAGCCTGTGGGAAATCAAATAGCATGGCAAGAGGTGGAAAATTGAAGTGTTTGGATCGTGTGGATTTCAGAACTGTAAGCAGGAGCTGGATTTGATCCTAACTGGAGGTATCAATACAATCCTTTATACAGTCCTGCTCAGAGAAAGAAAAGACCAGCAGAGAAAGAGATGGATCAGGCGTATGAGGCTCTGCCTCTGGGGCCCTTCCAGTATTAAAAAATGACGGGTAAGCAATCTTCATTTTGAAACATCACTTTGTTTCCTTTAAAGTGGCACCCATGAGGAACTACCAATGAGAACAGCTTTTTTTTTTTGCTTTTTTTTTTTTTTGTTTAGGTAATTATTTTTGCATCTGCATACAAATGTTATGTAGAAGCAAATGGTTCCTCACAAGTTTTTTTTTTTTTTGTTTAGGTAATTATTTTTGCATCTGCATACAAATGTTATGTAGAAGCAAATGGTTCCTCACAAGGAAAAAATCTCATTGGAGTATAAGGAGAAATGCTACAATGAAGATTCACTGGTTTTCATAAAATTGTTTCAGAAGTGGTTGTGAGCATAAATACAATCCTCTCAATGAAAATATTTGTCACTTTTATAAGCACATTTTAGCAAATGTAAAGCCTCCTTTCCAAAGGTAATGATAAAATTAGAATGAAACTGTTCCTGTGTTTGGTATTTCGATATGTAGGGAAAATCTCAATAAGTTCTGAATAAAGTCCTGAGCTTTATCTGCTGCTGCTGCAATAAGCCACATGGCTAGCCTGATGCCATCTTTGCTTAAAYGTTTTTCTGAAGCTTTACTCTGACAAAAATGTCTTTTGATGTCACAAAAGGACACAATTCACTTTCCAATGTTGTTCCACAGATGTGGGAAGGGTGTTGAATTTGAGATCTTAAATATGAGCAATATTTAACATCTTGTTCTCAATACTCAGTTTATTTTAGAAGATAGACATCAAGGAAAAGGTTTTTTCTGAGCTGGCAGATCTGAAAATAGGAGCTAAAACTTTATCCCGGGTGTGCCCTAGACAGGTGATTGAACAGAGAGCTGAAGGAATCACAGAGGTTCTGTTAAACCCCTAAAATGAGCAAAATCAGGTGATTTTAACAGTCTGACTAAAAATACTTGTGAGAAACATTTCATGTGTTTTCAGGGGTTTTATTTGTGGTACATGCATAACTAGGGACTTAAAAAAAAAAAAGAAATTAGGAAATTAGGCTTCATATGAGAGCAAGGCTGGGGATCAGTTGATTCCTGTGATGAGGGTTGGTGGAGACAAAAATGCAGGCAACGTTTAAGTTCCAAATTAAACATCAGGTAGAGTATAAATCCTAATTTATATGTCATTTTGCAGGAARTATTTTGGGATTTCAAAATGAAGCTTTCTTTCCTTCCATAGCTCTGAGTGCAGATAATGAGTTTAGTGGTGACATTTCTGACAGTGTTCTACCACAGAAAATCTATGCTTTAGCAATGTGATTTTTGAAACAAGTTTTTTCATTAAAATAATATGCAATCAGTGCTTCAAGTATGAGAAATTGAGCTCAACAAAGAAAACTTCTGTGGTACTGCTAATAAAGAGAAGCAAAAACTTTTTTCACCTAATTCAAAATCCATGGATACTTGTGGAGATCTGCTTATAGTTCAGGTAAAGTCAGATTTTTTTGTTGTTGTTGTTTTAGTCCTCTGTCAATTATAGGATTTTGTCTTAGAATATACTTGGTCAAATCTGATAATGGTGCAAAATAATGTCCTTTGAACCTTGCTTTTGTAAAAGTTGGTAATTCAGTACCTTTCCAAATCAAGCCATTCTGTGATTGCATTATTCCATGTCTTGACCTGAAAATGTGAGTTCTAAAATGCCATGTTTGGCATTGGGTCTCTGCCAAACTCCATATAAGTAATTTGAATAAATATTCAGCATGCTAGTTTTAGATCTAGATAAACATTAGTGATGGAAAAGGGGGAGAAGAAATACCTGTCTACCTGCACAACTAATAATTAYGTTTCGAAATGCAYTCTAAAGGTGGAAACATTCAAATGMTGSCAAGRAAATCAGAGAGAGAAATTAAAAGCAGAAAGAAGCAAATGTTAAAGACCATTAAAYGTTATTGTAAAACCCTTTTGTTAATGCAGGTTACTTACATTTTTAGTATTTTGAGTATTTTAAGCGGCTTTGCACAACTAATGTTGGGCAAATGAACAAAATAAATTTCAAAGTATATTCATGTAGAATTCCAACAAATTTTCTAAGCTAGGTCTGGGTTTATATTCTTAGAAGGACCAGAATCTAAAAGAGACATATTCAGTGTTGGTCTTATCAGCACATATAATGAAAATCCTTGAAAAATTGAAATTTTTTATTACTTTTTTTTTCTGTAAAATGCTTAACCTTGTGTCACGAACACCTTTTAACAAAAAAATGAAACCAGCTCTGTGTTCTACTTCATAGGCATCTGTGATGGTCAACATCAATATTCAGCATTTATGRATCCTGGCTTGGCAATGCTGTACCAGCTCCTACCTCTATTTGACCATGAGATATTCGACACTTGCACCTGTAATAGCACATGCATAGTCCCAGCCCTCTTGACAGTCAGCAGAGAAGGACAGCTCCAAAGAAATTATTTCTGAATGACATTTTATGGGTTGCTGTAAAAKTAAAGCTGGCATGTCAATTGGCTTCAAATTGACATTCATGCAAAATTTTACTGCATCATTTCGGGGGTCCACAGTCTTCAAGAAGACAACAAGCTACTGTTTAACAGATAAGAGGTAGCTTTGAGGCCTCAGGTAGCTTTCTCTTACTTAATATTTCACAGTTCAGAGCCTAACCATGACCTACTAGAGCTTCCTGGAACAGGAAGAAAGTCATCCTTTCCCTTCAAATGGTGGCATTAATTTATTTCTACTTGCACTTTTATCTCTACACATTGGCCTGGGTTCTGAAGTGAGAGTGAGTATATCTGTCCTTGGTACCTGCAAATCCCTGTCCCATGGTAASTCTGCCTCTGGCCATCATGGAGGTCACTGAGTTTAGGAGAGGACCTAGGGGTTGTAATTCTCAGAAAAATACTTTCTTTCTGGGATTGAAAAACAAAACAAAAAAACAAACTAACAAAAAATCCCCCAAACAACCCACAAAAGCAAATAAACAAATGAGCAAAACCAAGGGGAAAAAAAAAAAAAAACAACACCATAGGAACTTGCAAGGCTTTGCCTTCAAAAGAAATCCCACATCCCAGAAGCAAATGTTACCTGATGTAAATACAGACAGGCACTTTTATGTAATTTAGCTCAGCACAATTAACAAAGGATATTGCTATTAATGTGCTGCAGGAAGAAAAAGTACTTCCCAAGCACCTAACAGCAACATGTTGTGATCCATGGATATAAATGACCAAATAAAATGAAAGGATGTAAAAATGTCASGGAAACACCAGCCGTAATCTAATGTTGTCAGTGCACTGCACACACACCTTGTAATTACTAACACATTTGGCCTACAAATATATTTTAGACAGGGAAGTCCACTGCTTCTGTACCTGCTTGAGCTGCTTTTGATCCCTAACAAYTGATTTAAACTCTTCCATCACTTCCTTTGCCCAGTGAAATAATGATGAGATGCTATCACAGGGTGAGGAGGAAGGCAAACGGGGGTATTTACACACATGCCAAGCAGATCTATTTGCAAACTTTYAGTAAATTAAGTAACGCAATAAAAATCCTAACCTGCTGGAAGCATTTTAAGCTCTTCTCTTTTCCTCCCAGCTTCTTCTGACATGCACGCTTCTCCTCCTTTCACGGCATTAAACTGCTTTTCCACTTCCTTTACAACAGTGGGAATACTTCCCTTATGGGTGTCGGGATCTTTGGGGGAGGTCAGAGGTTGCCCTGCAGAGGAAATGACAAGCTGTGAAATGTAAAAGAACAATTCCTTCCACATGTTTCCTTGCTGCAGGAGCAGTTAGGGGTTGCCGGCTAGCATCACGATGGGATGGGCCAGGCCTTTGTCTTAGCAGTCCTGTCAAAACTAATTTACAATTAAAGACCTGYGCAACTGTTTAAAGCTTTACAACCCTGGCGAGTTTCAAGGACTGCTGAGGCAAAGTGGTACAAACCAATCTTATTATTAACAGCCAGGTAGATAGACAGAAACAAGACAGACAAAAAAATGCTCTGAATTGTACAGTAACCAGAAAAATTGCACACCTGAAAATGATCTCTCTGTATAATATTTATTTTGGCTATAAACTCATAGTTTGAGAACTAAACACATTTCAGTGGTTCTAACTTTTCTTCTGGTTGCTCTGTGGGCACAGGAGCCAAGTGCACTGCTGTTACACAGAAAACCTCAGTGAGAGGAAAGAAAAAATAAAGTGTAGAGGGAAAATGAGATATCTGTTCATTGTGAAAAAAATGAGTGTCCTTAAAACTATTCTCAAACAGCTGTGTTTTTTTGTTTTTTGGGGTTTTTTTGTGCTCCCATAGTAGAGCAGGGGTGTATAAGAGACAAGCAAACTTTCTGGTAAGATGTTAGACACAGAAAATCTGCATGTTGTGTTTAGTCTAAAGACAGGTCAGGTAGTGGAAGTCTTTCCATGTGACAAATATACCCAATAAAAGAATAGTAACAATCATTTCTGCTGGCCCAGACTCCGTGAGCAGTGTAGTCATGCTTACACAACACTGTAACAGCTCTATTACAGCAACATCATCCTGCTCCTGGGACCAAAGCAGCCTGGCTACCTTGGAACATTTCCCTCAAAATCTTCTCTGATAACACCCCTCCCCCAACACAGCCACGCTAAGTAAAACGCCTTTCTTGATTTCACATTCTAGTACTTGCGATAATTACTGCTTAAAAAATGCACTATCGGTCACAACTCTTTAGGTTCACCAAAAATACACAAAATTTAGCACTAAAAAAACCCCAAAACATACTGTTTCAGTATCTTAATCCTTCTCAGTGGCTGTTCCACCTTCTACTTTGCAAGAATCCTTTTTAGGTCTTGAGTGCACATCAGTATATGCTGATACAGCGCTGATCACACTTCAAGATTTCAAAATGGACATTAAAGTGGTATGAATAAGTCAACTGGAATGAAAAAGGTTTTCTTTTGGTTCCTAAAACTACAGAGGACAAAATCATATCTAGCTTTCCACTTGTCTGTTTTATCGGATCACARTTTTTCTGGTGGGCACAAATGGGTGTTGGCATATCAGGTCAGATCAACAGCACAGCAAGAAAAGCAAGCATTTGGAAGAAGGTTCCCAACAAGGGAAAAGTGACACTTCCCAAATGAGCYTGTGTCTGACTTAAAAGTGTTTGAGCTGGAGAAGTAATATATGAGTGCTGTCTGTCTASTTTTATGAGAATGAAAGAGCTGCCAGTTCCAGAAAAGACTGTTATGCTGACATTTTGCACATGTGAATCCCTTTTTCTATGGATACTGAAGTCAAAGGGGTCTTGCTGGATTTCACTGGGAGAGTGTTTCCTTGATGAATTTGGATATTTAGTGTTTAAATGGAAACTCTCAATATTGAGAGATTTTTTTTTAGAAGCCTGTGTTACTTAGATCCAAGCCTACCACAGCAACATTCCTGGTAGTTGCATCAAATTTTCCTACCTAAGCTCCTTCCATCAGAGTTGTTACCACCTTTCATACAACAACAAAAAATAAATTCCACTCAGAAATTGTCATTCATTTTCTGACAGGGACTGTTGATCCTGCAAAGGGCAACAGATCAACAGCAGAAGATTTCCTTAAGAAAAGCAAAGTATGGTGGTAGCAAAAACAGAAGCTGTCTTCTGCCATGAAACTCTTAGAAAATACCACTTCAAAGGAACAGAGAAAAGATATGATTTGGACTACAAGACACACCAGAGCTGATAATGTGCATCTGTGTTCTGAACAGGAGGGGGAATGGRAGGTATTAGGTGCCATTTCCTTGCRYTGTGCTCTGGACCAGAKAGCAYRTGCAGCAGGAAAAAGCCATACCTAGCCCTACACAGAGCTGCTGTTTAAAAGAATAATGTAGCCTGGAAGTTAATGGAARTAACATGAAGGCTCTGTTTTAAACTTCTAAAACCAAGACAAACTTGAAGTGAAGGTTAAAACACCATCTCCTAACCTGCTTTATTTCGTTTATATGTTGCAGTACCACATATGGTATTGATATRTAAGATCACTCACTATTTAGACTACTGCAGTGGAGTGAGTTACAGCGTACTCGTCTTCATTTAGACTGTTCTTGCTTTCTCTGGTTTGTGTCTCAACCTTAATGTCACTCTAACAGAGCTTMCCCCTCCCCACCCTGGTTTTTCATGGTTTAACAGATATGTGCTGTATTTATAGGGCATATCAACATGCGACAGCTTGCCACAGATCATAAACACATTTTTCTGTTGGAAATGTTGAAGTTGTGATTCTTGCCACGTGATCTCCAGTTCTCTAAGGTTTGTTCCTTTAATTGTAAATAGCCACAAAGTCATCAAGCTAGCATTTAATAAACTTTTAATTTGAAATGGATTACCACATGTTGTGTTTGTTTACCCATTATTAAATCTCTTAGCAACATATCACCAGCAGAAACAGCATACTGTAGCACTGCATAGATACATTAAAAAAACAAACCCATGGGGGATATTGGCAGCTAATAATATCTTTAAAGAATGCTCCAAGAAAAACAAATAAATATAAGCAATATCAAAAATTGCTCCTAAAATTTTTGTTAGTGCAAATCTGTTTGGCAGGAAAATTGCAGATCTTCCATGATCACCTTATCAGCAAATTTCAGAGGTCTGAATGCAAAATAGGACATACGCTGATGCTCTTTCTCAGATCTTAAAATTATGCCTTTCTTGACTTTTCAAACTGAACATCACAAGTTTTCCCAAATGTTTCCAGAAAGTGTGACCTATTTAACTRCATCCTCAATGTGTATTTCCAAATGCATGTGAGGATTGACGATAGGACCAAACAAGTTTGATTCTTTAAGAGTTTGTCCATAATACTTCACTGCCGATAAGGGTCGCCTGCAATTCTACTGTTTGGATCTGCTATTCATGGTTTGCTGCATCTCAAAGCAACTTAGCAGATATGTAGARGATATATGACAACAAAAATTACCTTACTCTCATGCAAGTATATGTTTACACCTCCACACTTCTTGTATCAGAGTGGTTATATAAAAGCCTTTTGATCACAGTGCAGTCACTGCTTAGCCTAAAAGCATCTCAGGGCAAACAAAATTTTCTTTATCTCCTACATCAGTACTAACTTTCTGAAAAACACTTCTCCTGGCCTCTTTTCAAGTTATACTTCCAACCTGAGCTGCCTGTTTACCATGCTAAATGATTATTGCTTATGCATTCTCTTTCTTTCCTTTCAAYAGCCTGCCCTTTCTCCTCCACACCATTTACAGTGCATCAAATGCTGTTCTCAAATGCCTAAGGAACCTCCGTCCTGAAGAGCCAAGTCTTGTTTCAGATCTACACAKGATATTCACACATACACTACAATCTATGGATTGGCTGAGCCCTTCAGTTCATTAAGCAAGAGAGAATATAGAAACATCTGTATAGCAAAAATKAGTTATTTTTGTTCATGGCAGTCTGGTCCCACATGCTGAAAAAAGAAAAGCGGTGTCCTGCCCTTCTTCTCATTATTGGAGTTCTACCAGTAGAAAAGCAATTTGTGAGTCCATTACAATATGGTGAATTATGTCCTCAGTGTAGCTACATCTCTACATCAGAAGGTTCACAGAGGGTGGGGAGGATGCTCAGTCTAAAAGGAACATGCAGTGATTTTTTAAGAAAGCTTCTGTGGAGGTCTGCTCTATACCAGCAAGTTATAATTGTCCTTTCTATGGGTTACCACTTGATTGAATCTTAACAGAATTTCATAGCAGTGGTGTGCAGCATGTTTCTGATGCCAGAACTATGTCCCTGCCAAGTCTGAAGACMCTGTTGTAGCCCAAGGAGGTGCTAAAGTTCTTCCGGAAGCAGACAAAAAAACCCATTTTTTTTCTTTTCTCTTCCTGTAAGCTTGGTGTCATAAACAGCTGAACTGTCACTACTGTGACATTCCAAACATTATTCAGCCCTAAGCAYAGGCCAGCATAGCCATCTCATCCTCAGCAATGAGGCTGGGTCAAATTGCTCGCACATGAAAACAAAGTTAGACCACCTTAATAAAAAGGATCACAGTATTCCTGCCCAAATACACGTTGGACCCATATCTGAATGAAGAAAATCTAGCTTAACAAGGACAATAATGACTAGCCAGCATTAAAACAAAACTATGGGTTAATTCAGKGAAAACCTGAATGGAAACATCAAAGTCTGAATCCATCACCATCACCTTGTGGTCCAGGCTGTACAACTTTGTCTGAGACACCATTCTTTTCAGCAGTGCTTGAATACATGAGAAGGTCAGGTGGGAGATGAAGATGCATATCACACTTGTTTTGCTTATSTGAATCCTGTGGTAGTTTAATTATCTATCAAGAGGGAAAACACCAAAAAAAGTCAGTTCAGAATTCTACAAAGCCAGAACATACTTCTTGTACACTGTGAACCCTAGCAGTCCAAGATGTTGTATAAGAATTTTAGGAAGTCCTTGTTTCTCTACACTCCGTTTACTATAGTTTTCTCCCATATAATTGTTCAATGTATGTTTTCCCCATGCTTACTAATTAAAGCACATATCCTGGTCAATGGGGAATGAGCCACAATCCAATTTCAGAATCATATGGAAAAATATTGGGAAAACAGAACAACTTTTAAAAATACAAACCTGAAAGTAGAGATTGCATAGCCAATGATCCAAGTCCTGAGAAATAAAATTTTCAATTTTTTTGAATCGGTCAATCTTGGAGTCATAATGGCCTCTGAGGAAGGGACATTTAAATTTTCCCTCCAAAGTATTAAAATTGCTATCATATAAGGGAAAAGCTCCCCATCCCACTTCCTGATCAATCCAAGTATAGGTCCCACGAAGAAGGAAGAGTTCAAAGAGGAGTACCATGCCAGGCTTCACAGCTTTTCCATGTGGTAGAACCTGGCAAAGGAGGAGAAAAAGGATAAGTTACAAAAAAATATCACAAGGGAACTGACTTTCTTTTATCATATAACTACAAACTTCMTATCTTTGGACCAATTCTGCATGCTAAAACAATTAACAACTCTTCTCTTCCCGAAAATCACATATTTGAACAATTTTCCTCTCCAACAAAAATGTTGTGCTTTTTTTTGTGTAGCTATTTTATGATTTCTTTTTTGGTTTTTTTTCTGCTCTTGGCTTTCTCAAAGCATTCATTTCTGTCTTTATTTACCAGGAAAAACATTGCCACTAGAAATCTTTAAGATAGAGTAACAAACCAACTTGGAAGTTGAATCTCTGACAACTTCCTGAGATTCACCACTGGATTCGTCTTGCAGCAACTTTGGAAAGTTCATCCAAACATCCAATAAGAAGGCCTGCAAACTTGCTCCTGACTGAGTCAGAAACCCTTCTTCAYCCAGTTCTGGGAATGATGTTGGTACACAATAACCTTCTTCCTTTAAATTAAAGCTCTTATTACAAAGTAAACCTCAGTGTAGGGTTAAAAAGGATTTTGAGGTAACAAGTTCTCAGCATATCAGAGACTGGCAAACACAGTTTACACTTCTCATAATATAGGTAGAGATGTTCTTCTRAGCAGTTTGGAGCTGTAGAAGAGGGTTAGCAATGCCTTGGGGCCTGGAGCAATTGTGTTCCCATGGCAAAGTCTTGAAATCGAGTKGTGAAGAAACACCCTGAGGCAATGAGTTTATGTAAATCCCTCTGTAAGGTTTTGCCAGGTACAGAAGAAAGAAGGGTAAACACAAAGAAAAAGAAATCTGGTTCTCTGCCACAGTTTTAACTGTTTTCTTTAATTGAGGTGGGTGTTGACCCAGGTGCCATTGAGCAATTGTGATACATTTAAAAGGACAGATAAAACCAAACCCACACAAAAGCTAGAACAGGAAGATGACTACCATCACACCCAGGCTAACAGCTATGATCTTGGGGACACAGGGAACAAATACATCAGCTACACCACTCACACAGTGAAACATCTGCTTCACCACTACTCCTACACATCCACCTGAGAGAACTGGGACTGCCTAATCTCTTAAATAAGCAATCTTGGATGCTTCTTTAATAAAGACAATTTTGTTTCTTGAATGTTTTTCACATTTTATTGTTCCCATTTCAGTCCTCACACTTCACAGCAGTGAATGCCTTGGTACACTTGCCTGCTCAACATTACCTTTCCGTCCAGCCAAGGCAGAGAAAGGAGCCTTTTCTCTTTCTCTCCTCCCTGTGAACTGAGACAAACTTGCAGAAGGCCACAATATTCAAGAGCATCCTCTCTGAGTATCCTGTAGGATACACCCTCTATACTTCTTGAAACATAACCCCCAAAAACCTCCAAATAGAAGACATCCATGCAAACCAATTGCCCACTATGAATGCCAAAATCTTCTTAAATTAGCAGGGATCTCCTCAATCAGATGACATTCTACAGCCAATAATCAGCCACAAATCTTTGCTCCTTCAGATATTTCTGCATGTGAGTACASACCTCGACACAGCTCTTCCTTAATGCGTATATTTGAATACAAGCATCACTTCTCTAATACTCTTGACTGAAGAGCAGGTAGGATAACCAGCATAACCCAGGTTCAGCCAAGCTTTTTGTCTCCCTTTTTCTGAAGCAGCCAAGGGATTTGCCTACACCAGGAACTGCCATGTTAGGAGATGATAAGTGTTCACAGTTGTGCTGCATTCTATAGCATTTCTGAAGAGGTGAATATAAATTATTATTTCTAATAATATGCCTTCCTTTTTCAAATTTTTTATTGTGATTAGATAACAGCAAGGGAGAGAAAGTCATATAAGGAAACCTTTAAAAATTATAAATAATGTCATTATTATGTAGGTGTACTTTATATTAATTATGTAAATACATTCTAAGACTTAGTGTAGACTTAAAATGAAACAGAAGCATCTGTTGAAAAATGCCATAACCCTGTGRCAGCTGCTATTAAACCATTAACAGTATCAGGTTTCATTTAAACCAGATTTACCATTTTCTGTAACAGCCCGTGGGAAAGCTAAAAACATTAGCCACAAATTACGGACAAAAGAGATCCTTAATCAAGCCATACATTTCATTTGGYTAGATGGGTGCTAGATAGTAACCTCTGTGCTACAAATTAAAGGTGATGGTTACAGGGCTGTGATCAAAGGCAGTTACCTGAAATATTGAACAATCCTAAAGCATTCAGAGATGAAATCACTGCTGTATCACAGCATCCTTTCCAGTTTCTCTCTTGCTTMCCAGCCTTACTCTTAAGAATAATTCAACAGTACATGCTCTTCTGCTAGCTTGCACATTAACAAAGAGCGGTCAGCAGCTGGTGTAAGAGTAATCATAGTCACCATTAAAATTTTATTTCTTTGTTTTTCGGTTCACGGTTATTCTTCATTTGCTGTATGCTTTTATCCTGGACCTAAACTGCGAACTCCTTCTTTGGGGCTGGAAGCATCCATTTGCTTACCATTACTGAAGCCAGGTGTTTAAGCCATGCCAGGATGAAAACACATAATCACAAAACATTAACATTAACAAGGACTTTAAAATACACCTGTCTGCCACAAAGTCTGAGGTTGTAAAGGCTATCACGCTGGGAGTCCTTACTCATGAACACTGGGTACCTGGCCCAGGTAGGACAGTGTCATACATCTCAGCTTACACAGTCAAATAAAACATACCTGTCAAGTTAGAAATCTCTTTCTGTTGAATCCATCCAAAAATCCCAGCCAAGACTCTGCCTGTTACTCTATGCCATCACACCAAGCGTTCATGCAGGTGCCTGTGAKCTTTCATTTCCATCCTGATGGACASTGGGAGTGTGATTTATATGGGAGGAACTGTTTAGCTGTTTAGGAAGGACTAGCCAGGCTGAAGCAGGAGAGTTTCAAAAAGGAGGAAGCTCCTCTCAACATCCATGCTAAACCTTTCCCCATTGCCACAAAGAGCACAGGTCTCTGTCACAGCTCACTGTCCCCACCCCAGGGTCAGGAAGCCCTGGGAAAGAGCTTGGTCTTGTGCCACCTGCCCTTCATTAGCCTCTTCCTAGTCTGTGAGCCTGAGAGTTGGGATTTGGGACACGGCCAGCCCTTAGGCATGGATGCACAAAGGCATTTAGGCAGATAGCTCAGATTGAAATCCACAGCCTTAGAATGCCTGTGTGCCTCTGTGGGTCTGAGGTGTTGTGCTCAGGTGCAGGGTAGGGTTCCTGTRCTCAGGAACAGCCCAGGTAAACAGAGGAGGAGGAGGAGGGAGGATGGGGATCAGTAACTGCTCCTCTCCAAGAGACTCAGAGCCGTGCTTGGGATAGACAAGCCACAACAGCTCAAACTGAGCAGTTTGTTCCGATGGAGTGTTTTGTCTCTGAAGAAAAAGAAAAAAAAAAAAACCAAAAAACCCAGAAATTATATTTTTCCTGCTGGTGGCAGCCTTATTTGAGGTACTATCTGGTAAGTTAATCCACAATCCTGCACCAACGCTGTTGATGTTCAAAGAGCACACACCATCTAAGGATATSTTGTGGTGTTTTCATGGGTCTGCCCTCCAACATCTTACCTCAATCTCTGTGCTCAGGTAAAATTTTCACGGAGGTCTGCGAGGTTTATAGATTTTACAGTGCTATGAAAGCGTTGAGCCCCCACTTTTTACTGCTGTCATTTCTTCTGCAAAGAGATGCAGCAGAGAATAAATAATGCTCGTGTGTGCCTGCACAGGCACAAATAATACTTCTTAGTCTGCAGCTAACAGTGTTGCATTTAATTGAATTAAATCATAATGAACTAAAATTATCCCCTGCCACTTTTTCTGAATTCAACTGTTTTATATCAGTTTTATTGTAATATGTCTAACTTCCCCATATGCCACCATAGTTTCTCTGCATAGAGAGAATGAATTCTATTTGAATATTTCAATAAACAGATCCAGTGTGAGGTTTTGGGGGTTTTTGTCTGACTTACTCTCAGATTTTAACCTTGTCAGAGAAGAAATAAACTTTTGCTTCTTTCTTCTGCACCTTCAAATGTTTGCAATTTAGAAATGAAATGGGCAAAAGTCATGTTACTTAATTCATATCACACAAAAATTTGACCAATACAACTCAAATTAATTAAAATATGCAAAATACTCATTATTATAGAAAAATCTTGATAAATGCCATATAATTGAACAGCCCATCATTTCTGATTATGAAAAGTGCAGCACAAGAATCTCACTGGTGTAAAACAGAAGTAGAAAATCTTTTAAATAGGAAACAGTTCCCATCACTAACAAATAAAAATTACTTCACTGTGTAAAATGAATAGTGCTGAAGAGGTGGCTGGTTTTGCCCAGTTAAAGTGGAGTTTCCAAAACCCGATTTCTAGCTGTCCCTGTTTATGTGTCCCTGTTTATGCTGCGAGGCCAGCACATAGGCAGAGAGAAGGGCATTCTTGTGAAATGTTTGTGTAACTCTGAAATTTATAAAAGGCCAGAGGGGAGGAAATAGAAACATGGACTGAAGTAAAAATAAAATATCACATTATTAGGGTTTTTSCAAAAGTCCCTATCTATCACCAGAATGTTCTGGAATAGCTGAAAACTAATTTCCCCAGCTTTCCATCACTTGCTGTCTTCGAACAGGTATCTGAATACAAAATAACACACAAATCAGAGAAGGACCATACAGTGCAATGTCATTCATTTCCTCACTATTTTTTCCCCCTGCTCTCTGAGAGAATAGGCCTTTCAAACCTGACATTGGTCAAACGACTCCCTGCAGCTTGCAGATCTCCTTAAGCCTTTAAGCAGTTCCACCACTCTTCCTGGAAGCCAGCCTCCCTGRCAGCAGCAGAGTATGGACCAAGAGCTGTTGGGCTCCCAGATGATCCGTCCGGAGCACAGACAGCAGTATTTGCAAGCAGGCAATTTATCCACTGCTTTCAGTGGTGGCAGRGAGCAGGAT